TTGGACGAGAAAGTGCTTACAAAAGTTGCATGTAAGGGCTACTTGGACGAGCTGTCCAAACTGTGTATGCCATTGCGTTCAGCTGGCTGCTATAAGCTGTCTGCGTGCAATGTGGGCATTCCATTGTGAATAGTGCTGCATTTACTGCCTCTGCAGCACCGTGAAAACTCGTCCCCCATTCGGTGTGTAGTCGGCTCCGGGACTCTTATTACGTCCTATCCAAGCCGTTGTCCGACCCGATAGCGTCTCTTGGGCTATACTTGGGGATAGCATTTTCATCCCGGGAGATATCTAAGAAACAATGTCTTCAGTGGGGCCATAATATGACTCCTGCCTTCTTGAGAAGCATTATCAAAGTGGCCTATCCAATATGGGTTTTCTAGAATGATACGAAACAAACAATTTTGAATATGGAGAAATCGTCCCTCACACTTACAGTTGAAGTCTTTTCGACCACGAAGAGGATGAATACTGATGAGATCAGAGATCGTTCGCGCATTCTAATGGAAGTTTTATATTTCAAAGTTTTATAAAGTACCCAACTAAGCAGTTGGCCTGATCTAATGAGGGAAATTTACATCCCCCTTGAAGCATGGCTACAACGTTAATAAACGGTGTGGTACTCACCGATGTACGTTATCCTACGAAGAATCCTGCGCATACGTCGCATCAGCGTCCGCAGCATACAAGTAAGGCTGATGAGTAAGTATGCATATTCAGTCGACGGCTCGGACTTCAATTAGACAGGGATTCATCGGCAATCAGCGCGGATTAGCAGTAAGGAAGACGTTTTTCCCAGCCATTGTCCGCTTTCCGGCTCATTTTCCTGCGTTCTCTTGTTGTTCTGCTTGCGTCATGTGCCATTGAAAAGCGTTGAAGAGAACAATGCCTAATTTGGACCGAAGACCTAAGTCCCAGTTCCGTTAAGAGAACAGCGGAATCATGACGAAAGTCTTTTGTTCGACTGTCGACTTCTCAAAGCGTTTTTCTAACCATCTCCAGCTATGGGAATTCTAACTATCCGCAGTTCATGAAATCCCCCGAATCATGAGAATTGACCAGTTGGTTCACTTAAAAGTCTCTATGGAACACGAGCTTGGCGGACATTCGAGAAGCGATTTTAGAGACCTGTCTTATGCAATGGAAATAAGCCGTTCGGTGAACACTGATGCCAGAGTTGCAGTGTTAAAACTCGTCCTAGGACAGAACTCGTACCCGTACACCCGCTTCCCGAATACCGTGCCCTGTAGCATTTCAACTGCCGAAAACTCGGTTCTGCTCAGTTCCTTAGCTGACAGAGCAGCTTCCTGGTTTCGCTGTTTCATCTAAGGATGAAGAGTTCTTCGAATAGTTCGGTCCAAAGGAGAGGGGCTGGAGAATTTAGCAGCGTGTGGGTTCGGTACTGAAAAATAAGCGTGCAATGGCAAGGAGAACCGCAGAATTTTAAAAGTACGGAATGACCCGCATAATCGGGTAGCACTTTAATTGGGATCGAGATCGAGATTTAGCCACTGTCTACAACGCACAATTCCATACTATTACGAGGTACCTCACGCTCATCTGATGATTGGCATTGGATTCAGTGACACCATGAGATCGCTCATTCCTTCGTATGCTTAGAAATGCAGATTGAACGAGTAAGTGATAGAATAAAAGTGGTGTGTTTTTAGCAATTCCAAATGTCAATCTTAAATAGGGCGAAGGTTGTCTTATGGAATTCATGGTTCAAAATTCGGAATCGAAATTGAGTGTCCTACAATGGTAGGTGGCGCACTATGGTACGCATGGTCAGGAATCATGTCTGGATCAATACCTATCCAGGCAAGCCAAGGTTTCCATCCTTGCGGGGATTTCTGAGTACCAGTCTGGTCTAGAAGGATGAAATCGCGGAATGTACGTCGGATGTCCACCACGTCCTTCACCTCATGGCTATGAAACAATGTGTTACCACAACAGGTAGGTCCATTCAAGAAAATCAACCAAAGAATTGGAAATTCGCTCCACGAGTGTCTCTTCCTTTTATAAGCCAATGCTTGAATATGCTGAAAAATTCCCTGACGTTTCCCCAAAAATATTTTAATCTCCTGTCTGTGACTATACAAATAGAAAATCGCAGTGTCAGTCAAACAAAAATGAGGGCTCAGGTTCCATCTAACCACGCCGTTCGGCAGAGGGGATCACGACAACATGTTGTTAAAGCCGGGACATTACGGTGAATTCAGAAGCAGCACACACTACGGAGCAGTTCTGCCCAAATTGGGTGTGATAGGTGGCAAAATGAAAGGATGGTGAGCCACTATTGGCCTGGATTGCTTTCTTGTTTGGGTGACCTGTGCTCCAGGACACGCCCCAAAACCAGTATTTGCAGATGAACGAAAGCAGAATACTTTTTGGAAACCAAGTTCCAAAATTTCATGTATTTTGGCAAGAGGTGGAAGTTTAGGCGAGAGGGAGTGGGCTCAGTGGTGACCCCAGGGTGATAGTTGCGACTGACAATCACAACAACTGTTGGAATGACTTTCAGAGTCTCTTTGGAATCTTGCAAAGTTTTGGGCTTACTTTTTAATCAATCTTGGCCGGTATTACATACTATTTACGTCTCCGGATCACGGAATGGCATCATGACATCGTGTTGAGTTGTTTATCTGACAGGTGCTATCCTACGATAATATTCTAATCATGTGCTGCATTTATAAATACCCCAAACACATCTAGGAAGAAGAAAACAAGATTTATCGAGTAGAAAAATTCACAATTACCAGTACTGGTAGGATCTGAATTGGTGAACTGATACGACCAAATATAAACAGAACTTTTATATGTAATTGGAAAAATATTATATTAGTGAAACTTAAAAGGTATTAGTAAAATAAGTGTTAATAAGTCTAACAATAGTGAATACAATGTTAATAAAAAATGAAGTCTGAGGTCTTCAGCGTTAAACAATCCAGTTTTCTTCACGACATTTCAGTTTAGAAACGGAGTGGCACTTTAAATGCGGTTGTAGTCCTATCCATGACACTCTGGCCAGCTGATGTCTAAGTCAGTTCGTTTATCCTCCCAGATGGGCCTCATTTGATTAGCCGATCCCAAAAGTATAAGAGGCTTGGTTGCCCTGGGAGAGTATCGATCCCGAGTTCGATCGCGAACCATGCTTTCGTAATAGTATGCCACTTAACACTGCACTGAACACATTGAATGATTATATCAACGAATAAGTGCTTGAGCACTCCTTTGACAGTACTTACAGTGCGAACTAGACCGGGACGTATTACTTCACGAAATGAAGCCATACTTAACAGCTACAAGATAAAGCTGAAGCTTTTCTCGAAACTTTTCGATTTTCGGGCATTTCTGTTGGGCGCCGCCGATGGCCTGCAGCTTCCATGATATCGAACTACTGTTGCTGATTTCGCTTTTGTCAGTTCCTATGAAATCTTTGGGGATGCAAGGGTTTCCCGAATTCCTCCACGGGGGCTTCCCCAATTCCTACAGGGAACGAGATCAGAATAACAAGGCTCTGACGCTACTGCCAGGTGGTTGCTCCTCCACAAGGAGACCGAGCACGCACTGACCGCTTCCCCCTCTCTGCCCTATTTATGGCTTCACTATGGAGGACGGCTGCTTAAGTAGAAACGATGAATTAACTATCACTACAAACATTGCATGTGAGACATTCATTAATGCTCTTTGAGTAGTCATCAATAAGCCATTTGGACCAACCATTGGTCATGGGTTTTTTATGAGTAACGGAAATGAAGTCCGGAGTTCTTATTGCGTGATACTAAAAAGCTCATACAATTAAGCCAAAAATCATCCACCATCCTCCCATAGAAGCGTAATCGCTCGGCGCGTAATCGCCAGTGCGGAGCACTGGGGCTAGAAAACATCAGCTTATGTACGGTATCGATTTCCTACAATATCTGTAGAGACTTTCTTTTCAGTGAGTGTAAAATGGGACGGTATCAACTGGTGCCGCTGGTGCTGCCACTGGAGATAATTTATCGAATCCGGACTCAGGATTATTAGGCCTTTCACCTTTTCACAGTTAGTGATACCAACTCGTTTGAGAGGGTAAAAGGAGATTCTATGGCCTTCTACGACCAAACCTACTTTCGGGAAGCTTCTATGGGCTTCTATATATATAGGGACACTAATCACACACATGTGTATAACCCACCTGGTTAGCTCCCCTCCTTTTGTGCACAAGTTATTCTAGTTGCCAGCCTTTTTGTCCCGCAGCTGCTTTGTTTAGAATGGAACGGAAATGGCGAAACAATCGAAGAGGTGGAAAGCTAGAAGTACCTCAGCCACCAGTTCAGCTTCTTTTAAAGGCACCGTTTACGATAAATTTAGGGTACCCTTTTTTGACGGGAATTCATAGAACTACTCTAGAATAAAGCGATAACAACGAAAAAAGCGCAAAAAACGATGAACAAAAAGAAATAGAAAGGGTCAAAAAAGAGCTGGAAAGGGGAGGGGTTGGACGAGTTTCACATTGGAAAAACGGCGGTTAAGGAAGTGTCCGGGCGAGTGCACGAAGGCGACGCAATGTCTGCAGTAGCAGACAACACAACCAGGCAGACAACTTCGCTCCAATGCGAAAATGATGAACGGCAATTAGATTTCGTAGTCAGCCTAGCGAGGGGCGGAGGGCGACCGTGGCTCACTCTCCGGCCCCTTATTGTGCCCTATCCAGACCGTTTTCCGACCTCATTCCTGCACAACTGGTATCAGAGGGATCGTCGAATTCAAACCATGTGCAGATCTCCGAAACCATTTTTTCGTGAACAGTGCCTTTGAGGCACGAGCAGCGAGTACAGCAGGGGCAGGAAAGCAGCTTGGTCTGGCTTCAACAAAACCTTAACGGTATTGCCAGGTGGTGATCTCTCATTGAAACTGAAGGCGCTGTCGCATTGCGTTGCAAAGTGTCATTTTACAAACATATCACGGATACAGAGTTGCGAAGACGAAGTGGCCTTGTCGATGTTGGCCAGAGAATGCGTAAAAGCAAACGAGATCGGGCAAGTAATGTGGAAGAGCGTTTAGAAGACGGCCCAAACGGTCGCTGTAAGGCCCAAAATGATGGGGACCGATTAAATGGTGAATATGCTGTGAATAAGGGAGACAACATGCACAGGACTGGAATAGATGGTCCAAAGTTGACTTACGTATGTGGTGAAATTCGCGAAAGCAAGCCGTACACAGGTGACCCAAACCTATTCTAAGCCATTCTGCGCAGGCCTTGTTCTAACACCTCAAAGGCGGAAACAGAAAGGTTGGAAAGTTCCATATGGTCAACCAATTGCTTCATCACAATATCATCGCATATGTATGTTATGCGCATACAAGTGAGCAGTGTTTCTCTGAGAATTTCAACAGACAGTTCCAGAACATTCCAGCTAGAATGTCGAATTTTCTGAAATATTCGGCCCACATCTCCCGGAGATCCGATCATCTAAGAATACGGCCGATAACTCCAAATCGGCCCAGGAAGGTAGAAGGACCTATATGGATCTAGTACTTTTACAGTATTTCACTTCTATTGGAGGAATGATCTGCAAAAATTGGAAAGCCTACATGGACCTGAAGAATGGATTCATAAACTACTGGCAGACAAGCTTGGACGCTTAGAAAGGATTGATTTAGGTTTGAGGATTGGAAAATGAGGATGTAAGGCAATGAAGCAAGAGGTATCCAAACGGGTATACCTACTCGTTCAATAAGCAAATATGAGCTCAGCAAGACTCTTTAACGATCTGTGACCGCTAAAAGATCGACAGATAGCAGCGTCTCAACACAGCGGCGCAAATCCGATGATTAAATCTGTGTTCAAGAGATTATCCAGGGCAGAGCTAAAGAGGCATTTTCCATTCTAAAGTCACTAATTGCCTACTTCACAAAAACTTCCTTTCTGCAAATCAAACTGGCAATTACGTCCTATTGAGAAGCCTCGAATTATTCAAAATAGAAGCCAACACGACTTTTTCGAGCGCAGAGCATAGATGGGTACCCAGCAGAAAGGAGGATAGATAGATAGTAAGAGTACTGCCTGATGTCATGGAGCTGTCAAAAGCCGGACTCCCTATAGCCGTCTGAACGTGATTCTGTGAATTCATTATGGCTATTTGAATATGCACGCCCAGTCTTTCCTATAGGATAGAAATAATGCTATCTCTACAGAGTGTAAGTATAAGTATACGTATTGATTGTATACAATGTGTAAATACATATGGACAATTGCTCGACCCCTGAATCAACCCCTATGGGGACAATGTAGGTATTTTGTCTTCACAGGGGATTTGATAGGCAGAGTACATAACTAGAAGACAGCTACTTCAGGGTGGAACTTATGAACTTTAGTTTACTGATATTACTCTTGAAAGCATCGGAAATGAGCGCTCGGAAAAAATGACATAGGCAGTACCACAGAAGTTCTCCTGAAGCCTTTGTTATGCGAGTTGAAAATGCGACCTTAGGAAGTTCATTAAATCTAGCTGAACACTTTATCGCCTTACATGTGGACGTAATTCAGTGCGGCGTCCGGTATACCATCAAATTTTCGGGTTGTAAGAACTACATAAGCCCTTGGGCTATTCAATGACTCAGAATTCGGTATGCTAAACTACACCGTGCCTGGAGTGGCTTCTGAAAAGGGATAACCGAAATAGATTACTGGATAGTGATAACTATTTCTGGACACTTAAGTCAGCGCGCTNAGGCTATTTATAGACTCGGACGTCGGTATGTCGAACTAAATTAAGCTCAGCTTTGTTGGTCTGCGGGGGGGCTGAAGAGATAAGAAAGACTGGAAAAAGAAAGAATACTGTTGCTCGAAGTGAGGGGATCCGAACATGAACGAAGGCTTCCTTTCATGCTCGGACCCCTTCACTCTGACCAACATACCCTTTCTTTCTTTCTTCCTTTTTCAACGAGGAAACGACGAATGAAAAGGGGTAGACCATTGACTTGTCCTACAACTTTCACTAAAGAAAAAATGCTATCCCAAAAAAAGAAAGAGACCGGAAGGCAGTCGAAGAGCTGACGAGGTAATGTAGCAAGTTCTGCTGCCCTATATTAAGAAGGAAGAGGTGTTTACTATTCTACGCCCGCATTCAATCGAAAGTTCAGATGCCAAACACCAAACAAAAATGGGAAGACGGATGTGGAAAAAAGCATGCCCGCGGCATCTCACCTGTGCCCTAAAAGGACTAGACTTTAAAATAAACTCGGGCACAGGCACGTGAAACGACGTCAGAATGCAAAGACTCGGTGAGGCGAGAAATAAGGGCAGGGCAATTGATTTTCTACCAACTGCAAAGTTTGAGATTTATGCTGATGCATCGTGCTAAGCTAAAAACTGGTATTAACAGCGATCGGACCCGAACGGGCCTCTTGAGAAGATTCAGAACAGATGGCTCCTCATCAGCTTTCTCATGAACCACAGGAACACGGCTCTACCCGACCACCGACTTACATTAGCCTTTTCAAATCGTCTGCTAATGCTTATGCTTGGAAGGAGCCTGGGTAAAGAGATTTCTAAAAGGAGCACTAACTCCCGATTGCGATGACCTGAATGCTTTCCACGAAGCAACTGGAGGGATGCTGTCGTAGTTACCCTCCTTAAAAGCTCTTTCGTGTTACGGTTCATCGCCGCGTCGTCGACAATTCTCTCCCGCTTACATTCGCGCTCGCAGTTTTTTCTTTCTCATATTCTTCTCCCCCAAATTGTAAACTTCGTCTTCAAACTCTCTCTATGGAAAACTCTAACCAGAAGCATTGTTGAAGAAATCCTAGGACTGCCTGTGATGATTTTCGTGCTTGGATTGGATCAGTCGCTCTGATTGAATGAGAACATTTGACTGTGAAGAAAAAGGGATAGATCTGCTTCATTAATAAGCTGACCCTTTTTGCGATCTGTGTGGTGGATAGATCTGCTTGATTAATAGACTGAATCTTTTCGTCGATCTGGGTGGTACGGGCAGCTGGAAATTCTCTCTTAGACGGTCTTTTCCACCCGAAAACTGATTGCAAATGATGGAAAATTATTGAGGAAGGTATCCCCCAAAAGCTTGGCGAGTAAACCACTTTTCCTTGCATGCACCGAGACCTCCTACTAACATCCAAGGCTAAGGGTAACGTCTGGGTGGAAGCCTGCCTTGTGGGCAAGCGCTTCAGAATTTGGGTAGTTCCACTCTACTGGAAGGAAGTAGAAAATCTGTCAGAGCGAACACGAAAGTGGCCTCAGGAAAAGAGAATCTAGTAGGATTTCAGTGGGAGAACATTCAATACAGGCCAAGCTTTGTTCTGGTGAATCTATTGAAGTGGTACTTAATGTTCACAGAGTTCCAGAAGGAGCAAAGAGTTTCTTCTTACGTCTGGCTACAAACCCTTACAATCTGAACAAATAAAAATGCGATAAAGCTCGAGCTAATGATCAAAACAGCTGCTCACAGCCATTATTTATTAGGGTAATGCTGTTCAGACAAACCGAGACGCAATTGTTTACAAGTACAAGCCGTCGGGGTGATTTGCGAGCCACATTAAAGAAAGGTTTAATCGACACAGAATGTGTAAACTTGCACATTAACGAATTATTTATTGCCACTTAGATCTTCTACGGATTCTCCATTTGCTCGAGGAATTTCTCTCGCTCGGCTAATTGCCAGCAAATTCAGAGGATAAATTTGGATTGAAAAAAGAATTCTGAAACTGACCTGTATATTTATAATTATTCTGCCGACATATGTGTAGAGTGCAGTAGAAGCAGAGAATGGTGAGCAAAAGTGCACAAAAGCTGAGAACAACGATTATGATAAACCACGCCCCCTCCATGAGGAGAGGCACACGGGCCGAGCCTGAAGGGATCAAATCACAGGTAGAGATCGAAGGAAATAATACACATGAAATTGAAGCGGATAAATCAAGAGAGATTTAAAGGCACAGTTTACGATAAAATATTTTCTGAGACATCGCGATAATAAGAATCTGTGGGCCATATACCATATGTGGCTCTGTCAGATCAGAAAACGGCCTGGACAGGGCGGATAAGGGCTAAAGATTGTATCGGCATTAAGCAACACCTACAGACGGACGGGTTTCCACGGCTTGTAGGAACTACTCTATTCACAAGGGACACTCGGGAATTCAAGCAACTAGTCGTGACACAGTGGAAAACAGTTTCTGCATTTTTGCCTATAAACTCGTCTCTTTACGCATTTGTATCAACTAAAATCTCGTCCGAATACCCCTTCCATGCCATATCCGCTATTGTAAACTGTGCCTTTAGCAACGGATCATCCGACAACTATAATAGAAGACAGAAGAACCTGTGAATAGTGAGGGACAAGTTGGTGACTCAAATAAGTAACAACAGAGAGTGATTTGGCATAGCGATATAAAGGCATATGGAATAGATAAATGGAAAAACTAGAAAAGCAGACACGAAACGGATAGAGAAAAACAATTTTTTTACCGAATGAACACTGAATAGGCATGTACTACATATGAATGGATAAAATAGTCACCACTTTCACTTCGTGTGACTCACTTATACAATTTCTAATTTAAAACGACTTACATATAAACCCAAGTTTTGCACAGGATTCCATCATAGAATCATTCAGAAGGAAGCAACGCCTCTTGTCACTACACCACGCCTCTCCTACCGATAAACACAACACAACCATACGAAACAATGCTACATACGTACTTGGAGTGTCGGAAAACTGTTGCCGTAACTAAGGAAATGAGAGTGCACTAAGAAACGTTTGTTTTCAAGAAATAATTATTGGAAAGTCGAATTATGCAGTTCCCATAAAACGGAACTTTGCTTTTCCACCTTGAAACTACAAATGCGAAATTAGCAACGCTGAACGCAGTTGAAAAGTGGACTAAAGGTTGTCACCTGACTAGGGCAGGACGCTTGCGAGTGATGAGGCAGAATCGTACGTCTTTCTTCCCACTGGAAATACTTGAAGGAACGATCTGCGCACCTTTATCTTCAAATCTCTAGTTTTCGATAACAAGCAGCTGCTAGAACATAGCAGAAACTAAGTTTTGTTAGTTCAAAGTGAAGTAGAGTTCGATTCCAGAACCATGTCTAGAAACTCAGAATCCGCCTGATTTTCACAAGTTGTTTCCGCTTCGCGTGAGAAGTCCGAAGATTGAGACAAATCACCTTTACCGAAGGAAACAAACCTGCTCTACGAAGGCCTTGAATTGTAAA